GTCTTTTGAGACAGGGTCTCCCTGTAGCCCCAGCTGTCCTGGATCTCACTATGTAGACCAGGCTGGCCTTGAACTCACAGAGATCCGCCTGCCTTTGCCTCCCAAGTGCTGGGACTACAAGCGTGCGCCACCATGCCCGGCTTTCTACTGTCTTTTTGTTGGCTTTGAGGAGTGTGTTGGTTTTGGTTTTTATTTGATTTTATTTTTTGAGACAAATTCTTATAGAACCCAATCTAGTCTTGAACTTGTGATGTAGCAGAGGCTGGCCTTGAATTCCTGATCCTCCAACCTCCACTTCCCAAGTGCTGGGATTACAGGTGTGTGACATGTGACTTTTCTGTTGGCTTTTATTGTTTGTTTTGTGATTGATGATCTGTCATGGAGTCCCCATTCTGCCAAAATACAGAGGGTTGGACGGTGTCCAGCATTGTGTCCCCTGTAATCTTCCTAAGCCAGCTGTATGCGTTTCATGTTAGCAGCTTGGTTTTAACATAAGGAGCCAAAGACTCAGCAAGGTTGTGTCCAAAACTGCGCCAGGTCACCCACAACAAACTGAAGCCAAGATCTGTCCATTGATTCCAAAGCCGTTTTTCCTATCTGTATCTAAAGTATCAATTGTTCATCTCCACACAGTTTCAGACGCTATAATGCTACAGAAATCCAGACTTGAACTGCTCACACCCACTGTGTATCGTCGCCCTGGGATTTGTCTGACCTACACAATTCTAAGGCCCTCACTGGTATTCCTGGTCTATACCCTCCCCAGTCCTGGTCTAGCTCTGTTTTACCTTTTCACACACCCCCGCCCTGCCCCCATCTCCCTCTTCTCTCCTGGGAATCCCTCTGCTGTGGAAACAGGTCCACTTACAGAGCCCTACTTGGGTGTCACCTTTTGGTACAACTGGAATGCCCATTTTTCTGTGAAAACCCAATTCTTTGTCCTCCTTCAAGCCTTAGATGTGTGCTGCAGGGAGCAGGAAAAGTTAAGGTGGGGGGGGGGCATCCTTTGGCCAGCTCTAACACTTATCTGCTGGGTAATTTTGGGCAAGTCACTATAACACCCATGTGAAATTTCAATTACTTCCACTCTAAATGGGGCTGACTATACCTATCAAAGTTTGCCCTAATGGTATTGAGACTTTACAGATGTGTAAAACACGGTGACGCATGCCCAGTTAAAGATATCCCCTGCCCTTTCTGTTACTTTGGGATGGGTGTGACTTTTTGAGATAACTGTGTAGTCCAGGCTAGCCTAGAAGTACGATGCAGCTCAGGCTGGCTTCAGACTTGTAGCCAGTGCCTCAGCCTCCAGTGTGATGGGATTTCAGGCATATATTACCATGCCCAGCGTCAATATGTGATACTCTTTGGAGAGCAAGCTCCATGTTTAATCCCACTTTATGTATGCCCAATTCAAAGAAAAGTTCGGTCCACTCCCAAATCACTAGACAAAAATATCAGCCACCTCCTTCCCCAACCCCCTCCCCCTCCCTCCTCTTTTCAGCTGAAGCCTGTCTCCTGCTCCTCCACCCATTCTTCAGTCACTCAACCCCTAACTCCCTGAGTGTCTTCTGAACTCAGCACTCAACCTCTCTCTGCCACTCCTGTTTCCTCTTCCCTCAGCCAGTGCCTTGTTCCCCAGATGCCCTCACTGGAGGCTACCAAGCCACTCCTCCAGCCCCAGTGATAAAGATGGCTGCGTCCAGACTCCAGGCCTTCCAAAGCCGCAGCCAGCCACAGGACAAGGGAGAGGGAATGTCCACCCCCACAGAGATGGCGGGATAGAATAACAGGAAGTTGCCTCCCATCGCCTCTGCAGCTGTAATGATAACAGCTGCCAGCAAAGCCCAGAAAACAAAGGACAGAAGGAAAGCTGTAAAGGCTAAACCTGGGGCTGCTGTGTTCACACCAGGGGTTTCACAGAGCCCATGAGGAGTGGCCAGCCTTTAAGTTATCCTCCCCACTCCTCCTTTCCTCCAGATATAACTCTTCCCTACATCGGGCTTTACTGTAATACTGAGTTGTTGGGGGCTGGAGAGATAGCTCAGCTGTTTAAAAGCACTGGCTGCTGCCAGGTGAGGTGGCACATGCCTTTAGTCCCAGGCGGATCTCTGTGAGTTCAAGGCCAGCCTGGTGTACATAGTAGGTTCCAGGCCAGCTGGGGCTACAGGGAGACTCTGTCTCAAAAAAGACCCCCCCACACACAAAAAAAAGCAGTGGCTGCTCTTGCAGAGGGTTCCATTCCAAGTACCCACATGGCAGCTAACAACCATCCATAACTCCAATTCCAAGGCATCCAACACCCTCTTCTGGCCTCCACAGGCACTGCATGACACAAGTGCACTTACATACACATAACAAGGTACCCTAACACTTAAACACACTGAAGCCATCGGCCTCTGTATATGTTAGGGCATCTCCAAAGCATCTGTCTCTGCCATGAAGAAAACAGGGTGGTGGTTCATGGAACCCAGCACCTGCATCTGTCCTGGATCATCACCTGGACTTATGAAATGTCCCTGTGTGGCACCTCACTAGCTCTGTGTGTCTAGGTGACTATTTTCCTCCTGGTAACTGCAGTGATTGGCCCCATCAACTTTGCCAGGCACTTTGGGACTGAGCGGGGTGTAGAAGAGACAGTAAAAGCTGGGGAGAACCTCCTGAACAAAGGTTGTGTGATGCGACCACTGGTTGGGCACCAGAGCCCCTTCTACAGCATTTCCAACAGGCACAAGGAACACACAAGCCAGGAAAAAAAACCCACTATGAAGATCTCCGTCCCACAGAGGCACATCTGCTCCTCGTCTGGCTTTCCCTCCAAGGCCTCTGCCTCAGGTCCCCATTCTGACAGGGAATCAAAACTCAGCCAGGTTCCACAGGTAAGTTGCTCTTGAACACCCAGAACTGACACCAAGGGCTGCTGGGCTCCAAGGCTGCACCCCTTCCTAGCGTCACTTCCCCACAGTTCACCCTCCTCTCAGCTCTGCTCCTGGAGTAAGAGAGACCCAGCAAGTGTCCTTGTCTCTGTCTCCAAACCTGAGCCATGGGGAGGATGCCTTCCTGCTTGGTTTGTTTAGGTGCAGACATCAGGCAGAGGCTGGTTTGAGCAACCCCTCAGATGCCTGTCTCTACCTGCCAGATCTCTGTAGCTTCCAAGTGCAGTTCCCTAAAGGATGCCTGATCACTCAAGGCTCCTTCCAGAACATTTGAACAACCTCCTTTTTACCAAGGAACAAAACCTAAACTTTCTTCACCAGCAGCCAAGGGTCTTTACATCTGGGCTTCCAACTTACCTCCTCAAACTTCATATACCCACCCTGTGAAAACTGGATTGCTGTGCACCTCTATTCCTAAAAGCGTGGTTTAAGTTATGAAGGATTTTCACCAGCTACTAGAATCCACCTCCTAGGGTTGAAGAGCTGATGAGATATCCCAGGCAAAAGCTTGTTGCCTAGAAAATACTAGGTCGTGAGTGAGCATTTTCCTTTTTCTTGTGACATAAAACAGTTGCACTATCACTTTTATAGAAGACTTGAATCCTT